CTGCAGCGAAGGAGAGGGTCTTGGAAAGAACGGTGAAGGTGAGGCAGACGAAGGCCCACGCGCCCACTGGGAGGGGACTGGTTGGGGGAGAGAGTGGTGCGGGGTGAATGAAAGGGGCGTGGGTGACAAGGGAAGAGAAGCAGCGAAGGAGAGGATCTTGGAGAGAACGGTGAAGGTGAGGCAGACGAAGGCCCACGCGCCCACTGGGAGGGGACTGGTTGGGGGAGAGAGTGGTGCGGGGTGAATGAAAGGGGCGTGGGTGACAAGGGAAGAGAAGCAGCGAAGGAGAGGATCTTGGAGAGAACGGTGAAGGTGAGGCAGACGAAGGCCCACGCGCCCACTGGGAGGGGACTGGTTGGGGGAGAGAGTGGTGCGGGGTGAATGAAAGGGGCGTGGGTGACAAGGGAAGAGAAGCAGCGAAGGAGAGGATCTTGGAGAGAACGGTGAAGGTGAGGCAGACGAAGGCCCACGCGCCCACTGGGAGGGGACTGGTTGGGGGAGAGAGTGGTGCGGGGTGAATGAAAGGGGCGTGGGTGACAAGGGAAGAGAAGCAGCGAAGGAGAGGATCTTGGAGAGAACGGTGAAGGTGAGGCAGACGAAGGCCCACGCGCCCACTGGGAGGGGACTGGTTGGGGGAGAGAGTGGTGCGGGGTGAATGAAAGGGGCGTGGGTGACAAGGGAAGAGAAGCAGCGAAGGAGAGGATCTTGGAGAGAACGGTGAAGGTGAGGCAGACGAAGGCCCACGCGCCCACTGGGAGGGGACTGGTTGGGGGAGAGAGTGGTGCGGGGTGAATGAAAGGGGTGTGGGTGACAAGGGAAGAGAAGCAGCGAAGGAGAGGATCTTGGAGAGAACGGTGAAGGTGAGGCAGACGAAGGCCCACGCGCCCACTGGGAGGGGACTGGTTGGGGGAGAGAGTGGTGCGGGGTGAATGAAAGGGGCGTGGGTGACAAGGGAAGAGAAGCAGCGAAGGAGAGGATCTTGGAGAGAACGGTGAAGGTGAGACAGACGAAAGGCCTACGCGCCCACTGGGAGGGGACTGAAGGATGGGGTGAATCAATCAAAGGGTTGCGTTCGACAGGGCAAGAGAGGCAGCCAAGCAGATCGTCTTTTGGAGAGAGAGCGGCGAAGGTGAGGCAAACGAAGACCCAGGCGCCCACTGGGAGGGGACTGACAGGGGTTGAGATTAAAAGTTGAACACAAAGGGAGGGGTGTGGTGTGGGAAGGGAACTGGATCACCAGAGGAGATTGTTGGAGAGGACAGTGAAGGTGAGGCAGACGAAGGCCCACGAAACAGTGATGGCCAACCATTCTGGTTGCCCGAAGGAAAGCAAAGCAATACTTCTTATAAAATCTCGGAATATATATACTTTCTCCCGGGGCGCTTGCCTTGTCTGAGTACTGGCCGACTATTCTGCTTACCAGAGCATGAGACCAGTGATGGTGGAGATGAAGAAGGTCGGGTTTTGAGACGTCTCAAGAGGAATCTACTTTCTCGAGTTGCCCGTGCCGTGTGAACATTCGGCTTACCCGAGCACGAGACCAGTGATGGTGGAGAGGAAGATGGCGAGCAGCTGCCATGCTTGGGTGGTCACTCCGGCAGGGACTGGTGGGCGAAAGGGCGGGACGGATGGAGGGATGGAAGGAGGGAGGACGGGAGAGGGTAAGGCGGCCAGCGGAAAAAGTTAACGAGCCTGGGTTGTAACTCCGGCGGGGACTGGGGGGGTTAGTGAAAGAGGAGAGGATATTGTAGGACAATGCAGCTTGTGAATATGCAATCCGAAAATGCGGCATGTGAAATGCAGCTAGCGAAATTGCAGCATGCGAGATTGTAGCTAAGCGAGGTTGCAGCAAGCGAAAACGCAGCATCCGTGATTGTAGCTAGCGAGATTGCAGCAAGCGAAAATGCAGGATGCGAGATGTAACTAGCAAGATTGCAGCTAGCGAAAATGCAGGATGCGAGATTGTAACTTGCAAGATTGCAGCTAGCGAAAATGCAGGATGCGAGATTGTAACTAGCAAGATTGCAGCTAGCGAAAATGCAGCTTGCGACCCGAGTCCCGAGAGTGTTACAGAGCTAGACGGCCGTGGTGCTGCCAAGGTGGTGAAACAGTTCGGTAATCTGCACTTCTTGATACAGCGAATTCCATGCTGCTTGGCTGAACGGAACCCGGTAGACCACGGCTTGTGTCGTAGGGCTAATCATTTTTAACGGCCCATTCATCAACATTAAAATCTATGTTTGTATCTACAGCTACAGATTAATCCGCACCGTCTGACGTACCCGGGACCAAGAATCGGACGGCCAGGCCAACGCCGACGGAGATGATGAACGGGATCGGCGCGGCGCCAGCCCACGTGAATTTAGGTTTCTCGCTCTCCGCGGGAGCGGGAGCGGCGGCGGAGGCGGCGGATGCGGAAACAACCAAACGCTGCGCGAGAGAGCGCTTCGTGCTGCTTCGAGATCGCAGCCGTAGATCAGGGAGGCCCGCTGCGGGACAGAGAGCGGAGAGCTGAGTGGACGGCTTAGATGCGTTGATCGGTGCAATCGGACGGCTGAGGAATGACGTCGAAATGCTGCGTGCGGAAGCCGCTCGAACAACGGGCCTTTGCGTAAGACTGGAATGCACGACCGCATTGCGAGGGTTCACCGCATTGTGCGGGGACAGGGGGTTCGCTGCGAGTCGCACGGCCCTGGGCTGGAGCAGCAGCGACGACGCCATGAGTAGAGTCTAAGAAAAGTAGAGGCTTTATGATTCACAAAAGGTCAGGATGAAGAGCTGGGGTAATGCGGCTTGGCTGGTCCTGTTCTAGTCCCTAGTGTACAACTCTGGTCCAGGATGGAAGAAGGGAAGGAGAAAAGAAGAAGAAAGTGGAGTGGAGGAAAAAAATGATGGCTTTTGATTCGAGAGTTTGTTGCTGCTTCACAGATCAGATCGGTGCAGCGCGGTCTTGTGCTCACGAAACGGATCAGAGCTGTGAGTGGTGCGTGCCTACGTGGATGGTGTGGTGGGTGCGCATCCTCCTCCAATGGTGGCTCGTTGTGGGTCCAGGATCGTGAGCTGTGGTTGGAAGAAAAGGAAGTTGGTCACGAGATGTGCGGGAGATCCTAGGGCTGTATTTTGACGCCTGCGGTAGGGGTAGGCTTCAGCTGTTCTCAAGCTGGAGACAGCGTGCATGAATGAGTCGGGGTACGTAACTTAGATCACATTCCTAATTCCCAGGAACCCGTTCTGCCTTCTATTCTCGAAGGGCTCAGCTGGGAAACGTCGCACGTCCATCCGCGTTATTGCGTATAGTAATTGTTATCCTTATGTGATTCCAGTGGACTGCTGTACTCTACTCAAGTGGTGTATGATTCACCTATCAGGACTTCATCCCTCGATCAGACAGTTGACTGCCTCACTGCTCCTGCAGAGGTTCTGACACCAAGGCGCCACAAAGTTCCCGCTGAAATTTGAAACACTGGGAGCCTGAACAACAAGCAGACCAAACCAGGACTGATCCCTCTGCTGACCGAACTGAATTTCCCACCATTGATCCCCGGAGCGCGTCGTCATGAGTCTCAGTTCTTGCTCCGTGAACAAGCAGTTGCGAACGGTTCTATGCACGTTGGAGCGGTTCATGCTCTAAACTGCTTCGAACAAAAACTCACCATCTGAACATGATGGTTCAACTCATCTCATGTCCTTGTCCCTGCAGCAATCCCAAGGTCCCTCATTCTCCTCCTTTCGTTGATTCTTCTGTCTTTCATTCAGTGACACGACCTAGAAGCCAGCATAGACTTCCTAGCCAGAGTAGGTTGACGTTTCATGACTAGAGCAGAACCCTCATCTGCTCATCTACAGACCGCTGTCAGGATTTCTGCAACGATAGTCTCGTGATGGCATATCTAAGCCTTCTCACGTCATAAGCTCGTAGTATTACACGATAGACGAGTTGCTAGAGCACTTAGGCGGACTCTAACTGGGTTATTTATCGATTCGTCTCTACATTCTCACCTTGACAAGATGAGCCGGAGGAGGGGTAGAGCCCCCAAAGCGGAAGCTAGCAACGTTGCGATTTCAGACACCCGTGACCCCGTGACAGACATACTGGTAAGTACTTGTCTCGAAGGATGTCCTTTCTTTGTATCATTTTTTTGACGCGTTTCTGTTCTTTGACGTCTTCGTATCATATGATCATATGCTCTTCATTCAACATTTGAACAAGTTCCATTTAATGCTCAAGATTTTTGCTTGACAATGACCCGTGTGTTTGTCGTTCACGTGTGCCTTTCGTTAGCGTGTGTGTTTCGCGAACGTGTGTCTCTCTTTTCCGTGTGCCGTTCACTAACGCGTCTCTTTCATCAACACGTGTTTTTCAGCGAGGGATCTGGAATCAAGGGCAGCACGATTCTTCAAGTCAGCAAAAGGACTGGAAAGACTGGATAAGCCTCGTCGAGAAGCATCTCAAATCGTCCACTACGCAACCGACACGTCATCAATCGACCGCCGATGTCCCACAACCCAAGCGAACCCGCAACAACAAATCATCCAGTCGCGACGACATTGAGAACCAAGGTTTCTGTCTCAAATCTTCAACAGCTATTCCCTTGGCACCGCATCTTGAACAGCTGTTTCGTTACACCAAGCCAGCAAGCTCGCAGGCGTTACAGGCAACCCCAGTTGTTTCGTTACAGTTTCCAAACCCATTCCCGAGCAACGAATCTGTTAAGCGGAAAGACAGCGACGTGGTTAGTGTTCTCTCCTTCACACCAGCAGCAGAAGAGGATAAGGAGAACAAGGAGAATGGCAGCCAGATCCGACGGTCAGCCCGCTCACGATCTAAAGGCCTGGGTCCGCTTTCCCAGCCTTCCCCAGATGCACCTCCTACAGGACCTCCTCCCAGCCGTCGATCTTCCTCCAGATCCCGGGGGACGAAGATCCAACGGCGGGGGACAGCTTCGCCATCCGAAGAGCTCGCGGAGAAGCTTGAGCAGGTGCAGCTGGCGTTCAAGGCTATGGACGCTAACGAGGCGAATCATAACGCGGATGGAGGAGCAATGACACGTGTCACTGATCAAGGCACTGATGTTAATGTTGACTCCCAGGGAGCTATTCCAGTGCAAGGCACGGAGAAGATGGAAGACGGAGACGGCACGGGAGATCTAGCGGGGGCAGAGGCTAAGGAAGCGGATTGTCCAGCGAAGCAGCCGAAAGGAAAAGGAAGACCACGGAAGGTGGCGAAGCCTGCTCCTGCTCGGTCCCGAACGGCTCCTGCGCCTGAAGAGGAGGAGGTCGTGGTAGCACCTGAAGCTGCTGGCGAAGCTGCTTGTACCGAGGATGCAGCAGGCGGAGATAAGACGAAGGAAATGGAGGAAGTGGAGGAGGTGGAGGAAGTACAGGAGGTGGAGGAGGTTGTGGGAGACGAGAAGCAGAAAGAGGACGCAGCAGAAACTGCTATTGCCACTGACGTGGAAAGCTCGGCTGCAGCAGCAGACAAGCGCGGAGGTGCGAGAGGACGCCGAGGCAAGAAGGCAGCAGTTTCCGAAACTGTTGACGAAGCTAGAGAAATTGTGCCAGTTGTGGAGAGGCGAGCCACTCGAGCCTCGGCCAGAGCTGCTGCTGCTGCTGCTGGCGGTGCTGGTGCTGCTGGTGCGCCTGCTGCTGCGCAGCTGCCACCTCTACCTCGCCGGGGACGGCCAAGGAAGGCTCAGAAGCAATCGGACGAACCAGGTGAGTGTGATTGGTTTCGTTTGGCTTACACTTCTGATCCTTACTACGCTGCCGACATTATGCTGGATCCCCCACTTTCAACTCGACTAAGCCTGATGGTTTGCTCTCATTGACCACCTGCGCAGAGCCTGCTGAAGTTCCTCAGCCCGTCCCTGCTGAAACGACCCTGCCCGTTGATCTGGCTCCAGCGAAAGCTCCAGCAGAGAAGAGGGCGACGAGAGGCAGAAAGAGAGCAACCGGGAATGAAGCAGGCAGCAGCAGCTGCAACAGTGGCTTGGACGCAGTTGCTTTGGCTGCAGACGCACCTGTTCACGTGAGTCTTTCTCCCGAGAAGGAAGTCAAGACGGTTGTTGTGACTGTTAGCACTGGTGATGCTTTTGGAACGTCCTCCCCTGTACGTGTGGGTGGAGCATCGGCTGCTGCTGCGGCTGAGGGTGGTGGTAATGATACGACTGTTGGTGCATCCGCTGACTTGGCTCCATTGGAATCCGCTGGCCAAATGGCCGCTGACGCGGAGGGCGAGAAGGACGAGGAGGAAGTCAAGGAGGGGGAGGAAGTAAAGGAAGGCGAGGAAGGGAAGGAGGAGGAAGGGGAGGAAGCGAAGGAAGTGAAGGAAGGGGAGGAAGGGAAGGAGGAGGAATTGGAGGAAGCGAAGGAAGTGAAGGAAGGGGAGGAAGGGACTGAAGCGGACGACAGTATGGAGGTGTGTGAGGAGGTGAAAATGGTGGCAGAGGAGACTCTAGTGGAGCCTGCAGCATTTGGTGAAGTGGCGGAAGGGACAAAAGACATGCCTTGTTCTGCAGCTTCTGACGCGGATGGTGCAGTGGCAATAGCTGCTGCTGAGGTTGGTGCTGCTGATTCGACAGTTGCTGATGCAGACGATGCTGCAGCAACGGCTGCTGATGCTGCTGGCGAGAGGAATTTTCACGTAGCAGCTTCGGCTGCTCGTGCGGATGCTGATGCTGGTACCAATGCAGATGCAAACGCTGCTGCTGATGGAATAAATCTTGTCTCGGTCGCCACTGCTGATGGCACTGAGGAAGATGGCCTTGAGGTGACAGGAGCCATTCAGCATGCAGAGCCTGAGGACCTAAACGAAGCAGCTATTGGTGAAGATGAATCCGCGACCGTGCTGCCAGTATCGGATGTTGGTGTGGAGGTGGCAGCAGCAGCCAGTCCAGGAGAGGAGCTCGGTGGCCTTGGTAAGGCAATGCGTGAAGAGGAAGTTGAGACTGCGCTGGGGGTTGAGTCTGGCAGTCCAGCTCTTGCTGACGAGAAGCAGGCAGTCGAGGGGGTTACAGAGGCGGCTGCGGTTGTTGAGGAGGGAGAAGTGGAGACTGCAGAGGAGATGCAGGAGAAGGATGATGCAAGGGTCGCAGCTTCTGACCCTGTGCAACCACCTGAAGGGACGGTAGACACGGAAGACATGGAAGCCGCGGAATGCCAAGCGGGTGCTGCTGAGTGTGAGGAGAGGACTGCGCGTGATGCTGAGCTGGGAGTGCTGCCGACGGGAGAGTCTGGCGCAGTAGTAACTAAGCCACGGAGGGCCGCGAGTGGCTGCTGTGTTGGCGGTTATGCGGAAGCAGATGAGAGGCTCAGAGTTCCAAGGGAGGATGTAGCGCCAGAAGTGATTGTTGCCGGGCCAACAGAATCCGTGGCAGGAGAGGAAGAAGAGGAGAAGGCGGAGGAACAGGAAGACGGGAAGGAGGATGAGGAAGGGAAAGAGGAGAAGGGAGAAGAGAAGGAGGAGGAGAAAGTAGAGAAAGGGGAAGAGGAAGTAGAGGAGGGGGAGGAAGTAGAGGAGGGGGAGGAAGAAGAGGAGGGGGAAGAAGTAGAGGGGGAAGAAGTAGAGGAGGGGGGAGAATTGGAGGAGGGGGAGGAAGTAGAGGAAGGGGAGGAAGTAGAGGAGGGGGAGGAATTAGAGGAGACGATGGACGGAAGGGGAGACAACGATGCGTTGGGAAAGGAAGAGGAGGAAGTGGAAGCGAGGGAGGTTGTCAGCATGGAGGTAGAAATGGGTAGTACAGCAGCAGAGGGTGATGAGCACCGGATCGAGGCAGAGGAAGTGGGTGGTGTTGGCACAGAGAGTGACTCGCTCTCACAAGGGGAGATGGAGGAGAAATCGGTGTTGGGAATAGACGGAGGCGAGGAGGACAGTCCTGGAATGTCGGAGTCCATTGAACCCGGTGCGGATGCTGCTGTTTCGGAAACGCCTGAAGCTGACGTCAGCCTGTTGGAATCTCCTGAACCTGAGGAAGCTGCGAGAGAAGCTTCTTCACCACAGGCGTGCTTTTTGGTGGCAGAGGGCATTGATGAGGAGACGAGGGAAGAGGGAGGAGGCGGTGATGGAGAGAGTGAGGCTGAAGACATGGAGATTGAGGAGGAAGAGGCGGCGGAGGAGGAAGATGGGGCGGAGGAGGAAGTGGGGGCGGAGGTGGCGGCTGCAGGTACTGTGGCTGAGTGTGCCGAAGGCCTTGACGGGACGCCAGCTCCACAAGGCTCAGAGGCAGATAGACATGCGGGGGCAGTAGAGGCGTCAGACGCGTCAGAAGGACCAGAGGCAGCAGAACGGCTGGAGGTAGCCGAGGCTGTAGAGAGCAGCTTGGGCTTGGTGGCCCATTCAGTTGGCACAACCGTCGCGGATGATGCACTGCTGTGTGAAGGTGACTCTGCGGTTGAGGAGGAGGGGGAGGAGGAAGAGGAGGAGGAGGAAGAGGAGGAGGACAAGGAGGAAGGGGGAAAGGAGAGGCGAGAGGAGGAGCAAACGGAGAATGAAGAGGAAGTAAGAAAGGATGCAGGGGTGGAGGAGGGGAGGGAAAAGATGGAGGAGAAGGAAGAGACGGAGGAGCAGGAAGAAAGCGAGGAGAAGGGAACGGAAGTGAGTGATGATATGATGAAGGACGGTACAAAAAGAGCAGCAGGGCAGCACAGGGACGTCACTGGGGGAGAAGAAGCGTTGACTTCTAGGGCGCAGGATGCGAAACCGGACGAGGTGGGATCAACCCCGAGCTTCAAGAGAGAAGAAACGAGCATTGATGGTTCTGGCTTCGATAAAGAGGAGCAAACCTTCCATGGCTTTCCTATAGCCAGGGAGGAGGCGACCGTGCACGGGCTCCGGGTGCTACGCAGCAGCAGCAGGGTAGCGGCTAGTGCAAGAAAAGCCCCTGCTGCTAGTGCCAGCAAAGCAACGCGCAGCCGGACAAGGGGCGGAGGCAGAGGTAAGAACGTGGGCAGTACGGAGGTTGCTAGTGCTGCTGGGACTGGCAGGAGAAGGGGCCGAGGACAGACTGCGACTGATATGGTGCGAGAGGCTGGGGCTCTTACCTTCGCTGCAGCAGGAGGTCTGATAGATGAGGCGGGTGGGACCAACGCTGATGCTGCTGTGGAGGATGTTGATCCGGCTCAAAAGTCGCCTGATGCTGCTGCGGAGACTTCCGAGGCAATTCTTAAGTCGCCGGATGCAGCTGTGGTTGAAGGACCGTGTGATGATCCTGCGGAGATGGTGGGGATGGGAGAGACGGTGAAGGAAGCAGAGCAGGAGGCGGAGAAGGACGAGGAGGAGGAGGCGAGTCAGAGTAGTGGGAAGAAGCTGAAGGTGGGAAACAAGGAGCTGCGTGAAAAGGGGGACGGAGAGAGGTCCAAGCGTAAAGAGAAGGGGGAAGAAATGAGGTATGAGGTTGAGGAGAAGGGGACTGGTGTGGCTGTGTCAGTAAGCTGTAAGGAGAACGACGAGCCAGCGTTACGGACCAAGGATGAAGCTCAAATGGATAGCAAAGCTGCTGCTGACAGTGAGGATGTGAATGGTGAAGAGAAGGCAGGAGAGGCGAAGGAAGGTGCCGCAGGCAGGAGAAGATGTGTGCTGGCTCGACTTAGGGCGCAGGGCGCTGCTGCTGCTTTCGGGGGCACTGCCTTTGGCAGGGGCATGGTTGAAGGAGCGAAGAGCAGGGCGGAGGGGGATGAGATTCTGCAGCAGCTGCGAAATAACGGTAGGATGAAGAGAGTGAAGTGTGCAGGAGGTGCGGCAGGAGGAGGTGGAGGGTTCTTGGCGGAGTTGAGAAGCGCTCTGGCGCGGCATGGTGGGAGTGAGGAGCGGGAGGAGGGGGAAGAGGCGGTGGCAGAAAGGGAGGGAGAAGGAATGGGAATGGAGAGCAAAGTAGAGGAAGAGAGGGAACCTGGGCATGACGTGGTGCAGAGCGAACGGGAAAAAGAGGTGGGAGAGGCGGATTTGAGTGATAGGAGCTTCAGTTTGGGTAAAGGTGGTGAGGTTGAGAAGGACGAGGTTCAAGCAAGCAGGGAGAAAGCTTTTGACGAGGACAAAGAGGTGATGCTAGAGTCGGTGTCTGATGCTAATGTGGACGAGGGAGGAATGGAGGATGAGGATGAGGGAGGCAAGGAGGAAGAGGAGAGGAAGGACGCATGTGGCGACGACGTGGGGAATGCGGATGGGAGGGAAGAGGAGCTCGAGGAGGGGGCTGAGGAGGAAATGGAGGAGGAAGAGAAAGAGGGAGAGGACGAGGAGGAAGGGGAGATAGAGTGGATGGATGGCCAGTGCGTGGTAGGTGAAGCAGATAAATGCGCAGAGGATGAAGCAGATGCTGATGAGCCATTGGACGATGTGGCAGCTGCGGATGATGGTGTGGATGACGCAGCTGATGAGGTAGATGACGTATCTGAGGAGCTGGATATTGCAGCTGATGATGTGGAAGCTGCAGGTGATGAGGTGGATTCTGCAGCTGATGACATGGATGTCATGTCTGATGACGAGGATGCAGCCAGTGAGGGACATATGTCCGAGGGCCATGATGGAAATGATGGTGATGGTGAGTGTGGTGGAGATGACAGGGATGAGGAGGAGGAAGAGGAGGAGAAGGAGGAGGAGGAGCACGTCTGTGCAGAGAGTGACGAGGTCTTGCTTCCTGCAGGTGATGAGTTGCAGGAGCAAGGGCGAGACTACAATGTAGTGAGCGCCAAGGAGGAAGGAGAGACGGAAGAGGAGGAAGAGGAGGAAGCGGAGAAACAGCAGGAGGCGGAGGAGGAAGTGGGGGAACAAGACAACGAGCAAGGTAGTGAGGCGGTAGATGAAGAACGCATCGGGCAGGAGCAAGGGGAATTTGCAGAGGAGACGAGTGGTGAAGGGGCAGCAGACATGGAGAATCAGTGTGAGTTGAAATCCTCTGTGGGTGGTACGGCTTGCAGTGATGCTTCTGCTGATGCGAGCAGGATAATCAAGGTCCCGCATACTGCTTCTGAGGCGAAGGATAATCAAGGTCTTGCAGCAGTTCCAGGGGGCTCCATTCCTAGCGAGATCAGATCCACGATGCTGAGAGCCCCAGTCAGCAGATCACTAGCTTCCACCCCCGGAATTGAGAACCCAGCCTTAGAACCAGCGATTCGTTGTGCCTCACTGGTTGGGAGCTCTGCTGCATGGACAGCACAAGCAGGGTCAGCAGCAGCAGTCCCTTCTGCCGCAGCATCCAGGATTGTGGGGCAAGGAGGGAGGTTCGTAGGCGCCTCTCGGATTCTGGGAGGGGGGCTGCTTACTGGTGGAGTGACAGCAGCTGTTGGTGCTGGCAATGCGTCTGGTAGCGGTTTGGGGGTCAGTGGTGGAAGGAGTGTGGTGGCTGGTGCAGGGAGCAGTGCAGCAGGAAGTGCGGGAGCAGCGGGAGCAGGGGGAGCAGCGGGAGGAGCAGCAGGTGCAACGGTGGGAGCAGCGGGAGCAGTGGTAGGGTCACGTTTTGCAACATCAACCACCTCGTTTGTGTCACTAATCATGAAAGCTCAACCAGCCCCACCCCCTCCTGCGTCGGGGAAGCAGAACGTCCAAGTGAAAGCGCTAGCAGCGGCCGAGGCAGCAAGGCTGGAAGCAGAGCAGAAGGCGGAGGAGAGGAAGCAGAGGCGGATCGCATTGGAAAAACGGCGGGAGGAGCGAGGGAAGGCAAAAGCGGAAGGAAAAGAGAGCGTTTCAGATGCAGCAACGGGTGTGGCTGGGAGAAAGGGGCGGGAAAGAGGGGTAGCTGTTGCAGACCAACCCCCTGCAACGCCTAAAGGCTCTGGTGGGGTGCGTGTGGGGGTTACTGATGCTGCAGAAGCACGGGGAACAGGTGTTAAGACGAGATCCGGAAGGAAAGTGGAGGTGGGGATGAGTGAGCGGGAGGGCGTGCAAGGGAAGATGCAGAAAGCGATGCAGTCTAGGAAGGAGAAGGAGGAAGAGAAGGCGAGGAGGTTGGAGGAGGCGCGGGAGAAGGAGGAGGAGGAGAGGAGGAGGAAGGAGGAGGAGCGGGTGGCGAGGAAGAGAGAGAGGGAGGAGATGGAGAGGGCGAAGGTGGAGGAGAAGAGGAGGCGGGTGGAGGAGGTGGCAAAGGCGAAAAAGGAGATGGAGGAGAAGGCGAGGCAAGAGCACATGGAGAAAGAGAGAAGCAGGAAAGCCAAGGTACATCCACTCTACCCCTCTTTCTGTTCTACCCTATAAATACTCTACTTGAATCCTAATGTACCTGTATTTTTCAGGTCAGGTGGTGAAACCATTTAAGCATGAGTTGTTCTTTCCACTGTTCAACACTCCCATCAATTAACCATTTTTGGCCTTCTCTTGTGCCTGCAGTTTGTAATCATTCTGTTCCGTTTTCTCCCTGGGCCCATGTCTTACTCAACACTGGATTGGCAGGAAGAGGAAGAGAAGGCCAAGAAGGCCGCAGAGGAGGAGGCGAAGCGGCAGAAGCGGGCAGAACGGGAGAAGGAGGCGGAGAGGCGGAGGAAGGAGGAGGAGCAACAGAAGGCTGCGAAGCTGGCTGAGAAAGAAGCAGAGAGAAAGAGGCGGGAGGAGGCAGCAGAGGCAGAGAAAAGGCGGAAGGAGGAACTGGCTGTGCAGCACAGGAGGGAGCACGAGGAGATGGAGATGCGAAGGTTGCAAGAGGCCAGAAAAGGGGTAAGCTCTTTGGTCAATTCTTGTAGGAAAGGAAGCTCTTTTTCTGGTATTCTACAGCGTTGCAATTGTCCCCTGTTTGCTGACTTCTTTTCAGACCTGACATCATTTTTCCTGTCTCCCATCTGGTGTTTGGTAATGGCAGGTGACTCAAGACCCAGCAGCACCGCCACCAGCAGCAGCAGCAGCAGCAGGGCAGGCTAGAAACTCCCACGCACCTTCCTATCGTCCCTCTACCTCCAACCCCTCATCTGCCGCTCCCTCCTTCACCTCCTTTCTTGTTCCAGGCAGCCGGCCTCCTAAGCTCTCTGGTGTTCTTATAGGGGGTGGGCTTGCATCGAGAGGCTCTGCTGCACAGCTGCAGGGCAATGGCAGCACGGATGATAAGCAGAACAGTGCCAGGCCTAGTGGGGTGAACAGTGGCAATACGGCCAGCAATTCTCGTCTCACTTCTGGAACTGCAGGGCTGCTCAGCACAGGGGTCGGGACCATGGGCTGCAGTGGCATTAACATGGTTAGTTCCAGTTGGGAGGATGGAAAGGGCGGCGTGCGTTGGAGCGACGTGAGATCGGGCGGCACAGGGGCCATGTCGGTCGGCGCTGGATCAGGAGCGGGCGGCGGGTTTGCCATGGGGCCTCCTCCCCCCAAGTTCACAATGTGTGGAGGTATTGGAGGAGCAGGAGCAGCAGGAACAGCAGGAGGGGAGAGGATGATATTTCGGTCTCGACTCACTGAGACTCTCACAGGAAGGGTGGGGGAGGATGGTAAAGGGTGCGATGGGGGAGGGGCAAAAAGCCTCGCTGGTTGCAGTGGTGGTGCAGCCAAGAGTCTTACTGGAGGCACGTTCATTGCCATGCCCAAGCCAAGCAGCGCCTCTTTCCTCTCAGGCACTTCCGCTGCTGGTGCTCTTACGTCTTCTGCTTTGGGTACCTCTGCTGCTGGTGCTCTTACTTCTTCTGCTTTGGGTACCTCTGCTGCTGGTAGCTTCACTGCTGCTGCTGCTGCTCCCAAGGTAGTGGTCGCTCAAGGTGGTTGGATTCGAGCTGGGGGTGGTAGCAGCAGCAATGGTACCAGCATCGGTAAATCTTCTGCTTCAACCCCTCTTCTGGCATCTGTGCCTGCCAATCCTGCCCCTTTCTCTGTATTGGCCCCTTCGTCTGCTGGTGTGGTGTCAACATCTTGTGCTTCTGGTGCTACTGCCTCTGTTGCTGCTGTTGCTGCGTCCTCTGCTGCTGGCTCTACCACCCCTTCAGCTGCTGCCGGTTCCTCCTTGCCTAGTCCGTCGGCAACCCCTCAGGCGTCTAAGAGTGTTGCTAGTCTTAGGGAGTGGGCCACAGAGAAGACTGGTGGTGCAGCGAAGGCAGGAGCACAAGGGAACGGAAGGAATCTGGCAACTGGTAGCACATCTGCTGGGCTTGGGAGTAAGACAAAAGCACGAGGAGCTGGTTCGGTGTCATGTGCAGAAGTAACTGCTACTGGAGGTGCTTCATCTGCGTCATCAGGAGCAGCAGCAGCTGCTGAAAAAGGAGGAGGGAATGGACTGAAATCACGGATTCCTGGGTCCAGCAGAGTCAACCAAGCAAAGGCACAGTTTGAATCGAAGCAAAGCCAACAGCAGCAGCAGGAACGGGAATGTCAGGAGACGAGTTTCAGCAAACAGAGAGTCCTAAGAAGCGCTTCCAAAGCTCGTCCTGCTGCTGCTGCTGCTAGTGCTAGCAATGGGAGTACACTTAATCCCAGTAACAAGGTGGCTGCTGCTGGTGGCAGAATGGCTGCTTCAACTCAACCGGGCATAACACGCGGCTCGGTTAAGCAAGCAGCCAAGGAAATCGCCTCCAAGCTCAAGTCACCCCCTCCTTCCTCCTCCACCCGTTTCCGCACTGCTGGGATGTCTCACACAGCCGAAGCAAGCACCCCAGCTTCCTGTACCATCACTGTAGCACCTCCCGTTACAGTCACCCCTCCAGACAGCCACAGCTCCCCTCCCAGTGCGTCTGCCCCTGTGCTACCGGCCGCAGGCGGCCAATCAGGGATGCGGTTACCAAGTAACCTCGACCATGTGATTTTGTCTCCTTCGGTCACCCCCAGGAGATCCAAGAGGAAGCTTGCTCCTGGGGCAGGGACCACTACAGCAGCAGCGGCAGCAGAGGGGATACGTTCGTATGAGATGACTCCAGATAGGATGGATTCGGATGAAGAGGATGAGGACGAGGAGAGGGAGCGACGGGCAAAGAAACCCATTCCTGCATGGGCAAGGTGAGAAATCACCCTTCAGTTTGACTCCTAAGTTGAGCCCGTCAGTTGAGCGCTTGAGTTGAGTGTTGAGATACAATTTCTTCGAGTCGAACGAGGACAGTCTCCCACCACAAACCCTGCCCTCGTTTGACGTCTTGCCTCTCCTCGTTCTCGTGCCATCTTGTATAAGCTTGAGGTTAAAGGACCTGTGCTCTGTCGTTTCCTATCTCCCCCAGCTACAGACCTCTCTTTCCCCCTCAACCCTTTTCTCCCCTGGTTTTCCACACCAGGTCGTGCAATGTGAATGCGCAGGTGCAGAAGCAGCACGGGGTGGACCCAGATACTGTCTTCCCCAGCTGCACCCGCACTGTCAGCTTGAGAGAAGGTCGGTAAAGGGGTGCTGGGGACTGGATGAGTGCTGCTGGGTTTTGGGGTGAAGGGGAGTGGGGGAATGTGGGTGGCTTTTGTGGGCAGGGGTTGGACTCACTTGGTTACAGTCTTCCCCATCTGCACCCGGACCGTCAGCTTGAGAGAGGGTCAGTTGAGAGGTGCTGCGGACTGGATGAATGTGGTTGGGATATGCAGTGTGGAATGTGATTGAATCGAATAGAGCCACTCTCTCCTACTCCCACCCTCACCTGCATTTGCCTGCCTCCCCTCCAGTCCCTCAATCTTCTGGCTTTTGCTGTATCCCATGTCGTTCATTGCTGTATGCTTCATTTCTATGTCCTCAACAATATCCTCCTTTCCTTTTCCTGCGACACCTTATGGCTTGCCATGGCATGTTGGTTTGCGTTTGCTGGGATGGTTTGCATGGTTTGGTCCTGTGTTTGCTCTGCTGCTCTGTGCGCTGTGGTGCTGTGTATGCTCTGCTGCTGTGTGCTCTGTGCGGTTGTGTATGCTCTGCTGCTGTGTGCTCTGTGCTGCAGTCTTTGGAACTAATAAACGAGGTGCAGACCGGCGAGGCGACACGGGTGACTGGATTCAAGACAGGCTCACATGGACTGAGGAGATGGAGTACAAAAAGGAGATGGGGTATTTGTAGGAACATTGAGTAAAAGAGGATGGGGTGTATGGAGGGACGTTTGAGTATAGGGATGAGATGGGGTGTTTACAGGGACGTGGAGCGTGAATGCAGACGGGCAGTCACGGGGGGTTGAAAGGAGGGAAGAGTGCACAGGATAGAAGATGCAAGACATGGGCAAAAGCTTTGCGTCTAAATCATGTGAAAGATGGAGGTAAATATTGTAAAAGCAGCTCTATACCAGGGATGGTTTGCTGGTCAATCATTTCAGAGAGTGTGAGCCTAGAACATGAGACATGGATTACAAATGTGGATCACAATAAGACGTGTGCGTCAAGGTATTGAGGGTGGAGGATGTTTGCGGCATAGAGTGGATGCATGTATCCATGCGTTATCAGGCAGCCCCACCAGTTTGAAGCATGCAGGGCCCTCATAACTGCCCAATTGTAGACACTACGGCACGTACGGTATTATGGGTGCATACGGCTGTCAAGAACTGAATGATGTTGACCAAGGTTGGTTGGGGTACATGAACCTAACTCTAACTATTGCACCCCATATGACACACATCGGTAAGACTACAACATCTGACACACCCTCATAGTCAAAGTGAGGGGTGTCAAGCAAAACCAACTACGAACGGTCACAAGACCATTCACAAAGCAACAAAGCTCAGGGTGGATCACAATGTCACCACACACTCTGAGCACAAGCAAGAGCAACAAGGCCAGTTTAAGAGTTCACAAAGGTATGTATAAAGCGTACAAACAAAGCAAGGAGAGAACTCAAGACTATGCAAGGCGAGAACCTGTGTCAACGAGACCTAATTGCACACAACACCTCTGGTGGTCACAAGGCGGAAGGGCATTGGTGAAGATGTCAAATTATATATACTTGTTTAGGTTATCTAGGCTGCATGGGGGTTAGCACTAAGGGGTACAGAAACTTTCTCGATACCCTAGTCTTGTACCCACCCCTTCACCTAATTCCATCATCCTTGCCTTAGTTCTTAACATGGTAACTAGAGCAGGAGGTCTCTAGGACCTACGAATCGGGCCCACCTAACTGCCTGCCTTGCCTACTGCTCGCGCGCGCCTTGGCTGCAGCGCGCGTCACTTTTTTTTTTTTCCGCGCGCGCCTTGGTTTCTAGCGCGCGCGTCACTTTTTTATAGCGCGCCACTGCTGCAGAGCTGCGCGCCGGCCCGCGTCGCCCACGCAGTGACAAGATTAAGAAGCTACCTAGGCTAGGAGAAAGCCTAGCCAAGGAGCATAGGTGAGGTAGAACGGGAGTATTGAGAGAAAATGCAAGGCAAGAAAGTGATGCACTAATGAGAATTGTGAGTACAAATAGCAAACAGCAACACAAGGAGGTGCACCACCAAACATGATGCACTATCTACACTACAATGCAAACTATTATATAAAATATGTAAACATATTTTGACACGCCCCCATAATTGTTTGCAGGAGTAAGTGTAAAACGCCCCCTGATGGGATACACCAGAAGTGCAGCGGAAGCATAAGTAGGCAAGAGCAGAAGTAGCCGGTGCAGAAATGGCAATTACAGCTGTAGCCAACCCTCAGCCAAGGCAGAAACAAAAAACAGGTGTAGGGGCGGCAGGTCGCCTGAGGAGCAGGCTCTGTGGCTGCAACGTGCAGCAGAACAGCAGCGGCTCGACGGCAGCACCTGCAGGCCCCAGCAGTAGGCAACAGAAGCCAAGGAAGCAAAGGTAGGTTGTGGCAGGGGCGGCAGCTGGAGGTGCCACGTCAGCACAGGGCGACAACAGCAGATGACCTGCTGACTTCCGCCTCCCTCTCACCCTTCCCCCACAGCGGCACGTGCGGCAGTGAGAGAAAGAGGAGGGGCGACAGCATGTTGCTCACACTCGCCACCCCAAACCCTCCCCCCACTGCTGCAGGCGCAACAGGGAGAGAGAAGGGGCGGCGTGTGGCGACGTAGCGTTGTGGTGCAGTAGCAAACAGAGTGGCGACAGCCACCCTCGCGTCTCCCCTCCCCCCACTTCGCCACCTCCTCCCACAGCGGAAGCCGCGGCGTCGAGAAGCGAGGCGCCCGCGGCGACGAGAAGCGGGGCGCCCGCGATGACGGGAAGCGGAGCACCCGCAGTGACGCGCAGCGGGGCTCCCGCGGCGACGGGAAGCGGGGTAGAAGGGCTCGCCTTCGCAGTCGTCGCGGGAGTCAGGCTGAGCGCCTTGACGAGCGCCTCGACGGGCGCGACGGGGAGCGCCATGGCTAGCGGTGGGCCCATTAATAAGAAATTGTCCGCAGGAACGAACAGCTCTGATAGCATGACAAGATTAAGAAGCTACCTAGGCTAGGAGAAAGCCTAGCCAAGGAGCATAGGCGAGGTAGAACGGGAGTAGTGAGAGAAAATGCAAGGCAAGAAAGTGATGCACTAATGAGAATTGTGAGTACAAATAGCAAACAGCAACACAAGGAGGTGCACCACCAAACATGATGCACTATCTACACTACACTGCAAACTATTATATAAAATATGTAAAAATATTTTGACACGCAGCCCGCGTAGAGCTCGCGCGCCCCTTACGCCGCCCGCGCGCAGCCTGCTTAGGCCCATCGCCGCACGCAGCCTGCAGCTGCGCGCGCTGCCCGTCGCCACGTGCAGCCAGGAACCGCGCGCAGCACGTAGCCACGCGCAGCAGAGAGCCGCGCGCAGCCCTTAGCCGCACGCAGCCAGCAGCCACGCGCGCCCTACTCGTGTACCTGCCTATGAGGCTCACTGCTGCCGAGCCCGTTGCCTTAGAACTGTGCGGCCTGCTACTGTCTAGAGCCCCACCTTAGGAGCTCAAGTGCAGCAAGCTACTGCCCTGCACGTTGCCTGTACTGCCTACTGCCTCCTGCCTCTGTCTTAGCCTGCTGTCTACTGCCTGCTGCCTTCGGTCTACTGCCTACTGCCTATGTCTTAGCCTGCTGTCTACTCCCTGCTGCCTCGTGTCTACTGCATGCCTGCTTTCTGCTGCCTTTGCCTGCTGCCGTTATGACGACGCCTAATGTTCTCGCGTTCGAACCTGACGGTCGCCCCATAGAGTTCGCTGTGTGGCTAGACGACCTGCAACTGTTCCTTTTGACCGATGCCAAAGAGGGCGTTTCACTGTTCGATTACGTGTCTGGCACTGCCGTTGCTCCTGCTGCCGATGCTCCTGCTCTCAAACGCTCGCAGTGGCAGACTCATGATGCTGCTGCACGCCTAGCTATTAGGAACCATCTGCCGATCACTGAGCGCGCACATTTCAGCCAGCACAAAACTGCTAAGAAGCTGTACGACGCTGTAGTTGCGCTCTACTCCTCCCCGGCCACTGCAGCCATAGGTCGACTCTGTCAGAGTATTATAGCTGATGCATGTTTGTAGGCTATAGTGGGGTAGCACATATGGGGTACAGGGTTTCTAGGGTTGTATTTGTACCCAATCTTTCCTTAGTCATTCTCATTCCTGTTTTCTTTACTTCACATGGTATAGAGCGGGTCCTGCCTTAGGACCGTTTTTTTTTAGGGCCCACCGAAGCGCGCCCCGAGGCGCGCCTTTTTTTTAGCGACCCCTCGGGTCGCCTTTTCCCTCGCGGCCCCGCCGCCTGCTTGACGCGGCCCCGCCGCCTCCCCTGACGCGGCCCCGCCGCCTCCCCTGACGCGGCCCCGCCTCTACTGCCGCGGCCCCGCCGCCGCCTCTGACGGCCCCGCCGCTGCTCCTGCCGGCCCGCCGCCTCACCTTACGGCCCCGCCGCTGCTCCTGCCGGCCCGCCGCTGCTCCTGCCGGCCCGCCGCTGCTCCTGCCGGCCCGCCGCTGCACCTGCCGGCCCGCCGCTGCACCCAGCGGCCCGCCGCCTCTGACGGCCCCGCCGCTGCACCCTACGGCCCGCCGCTGCTCCTGCCGGCCCGCCGCCTCACCTGACGGCCCCGCCGCTGCTCCTACCGGCCCGCCGCTGCTCCTGCCGGCCCGCCACTGCACCTGCCGGCCCGCCGCTGCACCCAGCGGCCCGCCGCCTCTGACGGCCCCGCCGCTGCACCTGCCGGCCCGCCGCTGCACCCAGCGGCCCGCCGCTTCACCTGACGGCCCCGCCGCTGCACCTGCCGGCCCGCCGCTGCACCCTACGGCCCGCCGCTGCACCCTACGGCCCGCCGCCTGCACCTGCCGGTCCGCTGCTACACCTGCCGGCCCGCCGCTGCACCTGCCGGCCCACCACTGCACCGGTCAGCCTGCCGCTGCACCTGACGGCTCCGCCCCTGCAGCCGAACCGCCCGGGAGCCGAGCCGCCCAACGCCGAGCCGCCCGGGACCCGAGCCGCCCTGCTGCCGAGCCGCCCGGGAGCCGAGCCGCCCTACACCC